GTGACGCAACTCACTAGCGCGTTGGATCGACGGAGAGCACCGATACTCGGCACGCTCTACCGTACTCTCTCGCTCGCACACCTCCCTCCCATAGACCACCGAAATTCCTCGGCACCCGTCAACACCGACGGAGAGCACCGATACCGCGGCTCGCTCTACCGCTCTCGCTCGCACGTCGTGACGTCACCCGATTCCCTGAATCTCGCAGCTACGAGATGGCTCATTACAGTAAGGCATTCCCGCAAGGGAAATTTTAAGCCACCAGCGAAAAGATAGATTTGATAGAGTATTAATGTAATTTATATCATTATTATCAGTGATCAAATTCACTCAAGATAAAAAAATCGCGATCACGGTCGTGAATAAAGTTAAATCACTATCGTGATCGTGATTCGGCGATCATTGTGCTAAATCGCCGTTAGTGATTTTGCACGCCATCTCGAATGTGAGATGAGAACTGTTAGTAGCTTGGTAAGTGGGGTCATAGAACCCCCGGAGCAAACGTAAGAGACCCCGTGTGATAGAGACAGGTGGCGTTTTCGAGGCATCGAAATTCAAATTCCCGCGGCAATCAATTAAATCATATTTTATGGACTCCACTTAAATTCAATGAGTAAATGGTCCCCAAGTAATATAGACGAGGTAACGAAAAGACTGGATTATCCGAATCTGTACTATGAAACGACATTTGTTCATCTATTGTTAATCGGTACTGAGCGTTGCGGGGGAACGAATGGATATACCGTTCGAAAATTCATAGAACCGCCATTACTACCGAGTAGCTATCTGACAGCAATCCGACGAAATTGTTTCAGTCGCTAAAATTTCGTGAGCTTGGTGTGCCTTCTCGATACCGTGGATAATTTGGTCCGTGATTCGTGACCGAGAATCGCGATCGGGGTCCCGTTCGAGTGGAATCAGGCATCAACCAGTTCGACCTTAAAAGTCACCTGTCGTTGGTTGTTCTGTTCTTAATCTTACACACGAACATTAGCAACAAATCGAGACAGAGTGCTCAAAGCCGAATTAATATGTCGGATACTAGACGACGTCGAAAGTCTAATCAGTCATGCGGTTCCGATGACCTGTCGGACTCCTGCGAGGAGTTGAACGCAACGAAGGAGACCCAGGTTAGCTGATGCAGAAGTGCTCTATTTGGTTAAAAATTGCGAAAATTTTCAGACGAATAATCCTATGTGTGCTCGTTTGGTTTTTATCGTTTTTCAAGCTGTCATCGTTTATTGAAATTTCTGTATTATGCCGAATTGAATCGAAAGTTCGGCGGAAGACTCGATTAAGCGGATTAAGTAAATTGTTGTAATACTTCTGTGTACGATGGGTAGACTTTCTTTTGTGTTCTATTTACCGGCAGCTGATCCTGCCGATGTTCCGATTTTAGTTCGTACATAAGAGCCTAAACAAGATTATTTTGTGTGCTAGATTCGTACGAAACATACCTATGAATCACAGAATCTTACGGTGAAATTTCAACATCAACCTTTTGTCTTTTAAAGTTATGATAATTGTTTGTGCTATGTGTGCTTTGTTAACAGAGCAGTGAACAAACCGATGGACACCAGGATTCGGAATGTGAAATTTATCCATCTGACTCTGATGTTGAATCCCAAGATGGTACGTTACGAGAGAGTGGAGATGGTCAGGAAGAAGAAAAGCCTCAGAAGAAATTAGACGATGACGAGGACAGACGTAATCCACAGTACATTCCTAAGAGAGGAACATTTTATGAACACGATGACCGAACTACCGATGAAGTGACAGACAATAATGCAGAACCACCAAGTGAGAGAGAAACCAAAGAGAAGAAGGTATGGAAAGATAAGGAAGATAGATGGGATCACGATAGATACAATGATGAAGAACAGGCACCAAAGAGTCACGAAGAACTCATAGCAGTTTATGGTTATGACATTAGAAATGAAGAAGGTCCACCGAGAGCTCGAAGAAGAAGAAGATACGGGTGAGTGTATCTTTACAGGAATTGTTATATATGTGTTTGCAACATTGTTTAATGTATTTTGTTTATCGTAGCCGTGGCCCTAATAAATATACACGTAACTGGGAAGATGAAGATGCTTACGGAAAGCCAGGAAGTAACACTCCCAACAGAAACAAAAAGTTTAATAGGAGCGGCGAAGACTTCCCTGCACTAGGAACTAACAAAAATGCGTCCCCGCAAGTAGAAGAACCGGTAATCTCATCAGCTTGGTACAGTAGTAAAAATAAATCACAAAGCAAACTGCAAAACTTTCCGCCTCTACAGACTCAGGATGATAGTCCGAAAACGAAACCCAGTGGTACATCTAATGCTCTCACGTATGTAATATTTTCTGCAATAACGGTGTTACAGTCCTGAGTAGATCGATGAGATTTCCTTAATTACTTAATTTACAGAAATGAAAATAAAGCTCCTAATGAGTCAATAAGTCCAGCATGGAAGAAGGACAACAAGAATCCATTGTTCACTCAAAGTAGTAACGGGAACAGTGGTGCTGGTGGTGACGCAGATATGTTGGTTAACACGAAAACATCTCCAAGAGATAACAACAAAAGGAACGTTCAAGAATCTGTAGGCTTGGCAGCGAGTAGAACTCGTGGACGAGGATTCAGGACGAACGCGAACAACAATATGGTCACTAATAGAATAGTTGAGACTAAACCAAAGGGACGCGGAGCGGGTCCGATTATCACAGATAATAAGAGAAACAGTAATATACAAAATGACGACGAGCAGCAAATTACACATGACATGAAACACGTTAGCCTTAACGATGGTACACAGTATCATCAAGGTGGAAGACACAACAGTAAGTGTTTAATGTATGCATGTATATATATATATATTAGATATGTATATATATATTAGATATACAATGCTATAGCATACATTGATGGGTTTGCAGAAAATTTCTATGGTCAGTCTTCCAATCAACAAAGATCAAACACGGTACCTCCGAGAATGCAACAACAGCAACAGTCTCATCCGCCGGCACAGCAACAGCAACAATCACAACAGTCGCAGCAACAACAATCAATTCAACAGCAGCAGCAAGATGGTGCTGCTACTAGACCAAAGAGATACTCTAGTTTGCGGCAACGTCCTACAGTTTCCGAGACTCCTGGACAACAAACTTATCCACCACAACATGGGCAGCAGCATGCGCAACACACCCCACACACTCAACATGGCCAACACAATCAGCACAATCAACACAGTCAACATAACCAACATGGATATTTCCCTCCTCAAGGTGATAGATACACTCTTCATTATTTTTGTCATCTTTAAATATATCTATCTATGTTACTTTATTCATGGAAAATGCTTTTTCGGTGATCAATTGTAAATATATATTTCGTATTAATATATAACTTGTGTGTACATGTGTCTAGCCGGCAATTCGAGAGGTGTTTTAGAGTCACAAGGTAAGATAGAGTAGTTTTTTTTTACTTTTGTGACTTTGTTTATTCGTTTCGTAGAATCAATTTGAAACACGAACTCTGTGTGAATGTACCCTCACGAGCAAACTCGAATTCCGTTAAGAGAAAAAGTGACTTAGGAGATGAGCCTCTTACAACTTGGTAAATTTATTTCAAGTACTGAAACAAATGTTAATTTGGCATACATTTCAGTAATTCCCGATACCAAGTGGTAGAAGGCCCTTCCCCTACGGCCACGTTTTCTCCTAGTGGAAGCCAAGTTTGCTCGTGAGGGTACATGGATAATCTGGTTGTTACATTTTGTATAGTAGTGTTACATTTCAATAGGATATCCACCAGGTCATTTCGAACAAACCACGCCTGTCGCGACCGCTGCCGCACCGATGGCTGGACAGCCTGTTATTCCGTTGCCACCGAACGGTCAACCAGCTAGTTATGCACCACCACCGTTTTTGGTACCGCCGCCACAGTTTATTACTCCACAGACTGCTCCACCTAGTATAATTAATTATGTTCCCGGCCCGAACGGACCAGCATTTCAACCAAATTTCCAGGGTTACCCGGGATATACTCCACCAGTACAGGTATAGTTGTTACCAGTAAAGTTTCTGGTAATTAATTCCGATACTTTTTTTTGTTTTATTTATCTGTATTTCAATTGTTTGTATTCTTCCAGCCTCAGCGTCCCCCACCGCCACAAGAACTGTTCCAACCACAAGGTTGTACTTACTATAGTCCAGCGCAACAACAACAACAAGCAGCTCCGATGAGGCGGCCGAAAGCGGCAATTCCAATACTCCCGCCTCCCGACAATCAGCAACATCAAACCGGTGGCAAGGGACGCGGTCGAAGCACACCTCAGCAATTATCGAATCAATTCGGTAACATGCAACAGACCGAGGAAGAAATAAAATTGAACTCGATGGAGGATGAACAAAAGACTGCACTGGAACAGTTTGACGATACCGAGATCGACCAGACATTTTTAGGTCAGGAAACGCAGAAAGACGAAGATCTGAGTGTAATAACGAGTACCGTGAACGAAAACGAGGAGAAAGATGTGAAAAACGTTGAAAAGGAGACTGCTGTTGTCTCTGAAATCGTCGCGACGGAACCCGACGTCGAAATAATAATAAGTGCTAACGATACGTCGAAAGTCATTATAATAGAAGATGAAAATATTATTCCTAATAAATCTCCGCTGACAATCGTGGAGGAAACTGAGAATGATTTGAACACAATCGAGAGCAGTACGACCGAGAGTAAAATTGTCGAAGAGGCAGCAGCTTGAACGAGTGTCGCATGGTTCTTTGACATTTTTCACAAGTGACGTAATTGTGAATCTGCGTGAGTATGTGTATGCATTATATTATATAAACGGATGCCGCGTAGTTTTAAACGAGGTTATTATACAGTATGTATAGCTGAAATTGGTGGTTCTCACGTGCCGTTCGTGGAACGCCGTAGGAATTGGATGTGTGTACGTGTGTCTTAATTACACACTTCGAAAATGATGTTATCTAATTCCAGCATGTTGTATATTTCGTAGTTCGCATTTCTAACAATGTTTCGCTACGAACTCCATCGATCTGCTGCTACCTATTTAAGAATACATTCTTCAATTGTTGAATTACTTTCGTATATAAAGTCTACTAATAATCGATTATTAGTAGAGGGGGAGACTAGTGTTAAATATATTATCATGTATCGAATATTAACGCATGCAGCATCGACTGGGTGGAATGATTAATAAATCGATATATCTTTTTAATACATCGGTTATTGTAAATAGACTGTAGTCAGGTCAGTAACCTTAATATCTTACATATTATGCGGTTTTTTTTCTGTACAAACTACGTTTGTACCGCGATTTGTTGAGTAAACGATGGCTGAGTGAAGTATGTTTATTTCATAAATAATCACTACTTAACGCTTTAATTTTACTTATATCACGGTAGTAAAAAGAAAAAAAAAAGAACTTTAATCTTCATTCGTTGAAGGACGATCGTTATGATAATTTAATTAGTGTATCCACAGAGCCCACGTATATAAGATGAACATAAATACTAATCTTGTCAATGATATATATTCTCTATTCAGACTTTTCGCAGAGAATGAGAAAAGTCGAAATAACGATAATGTTTTTTTTTTCTTTTTCTAAATATGCTTACAACAATATACTTTGTTACTGGCTACGTGGAATGGAAAGATAATATATTGATAGGAAGTTTTTTCGTATGTGACTAAATTTATTTTTTCCTCTTTTTTTATCGATATTATGTATCGAGATTCGCGCCGGGTGTCGAGCGTGAAAACTTCACCGATGAATGAATTCGACTCCTATGAAATAGTTTGTTTAAGAGGAATAGCGATGAGATCGTATATAAACAATGGAATTGATCTTTACGCGTACCGATCCTCGACCAAAAAGAAAGAAAAAAAATGTAACATTAGGGAATTAACGATAAGTCCCATCGAGATTACGTAAAATATTACCGAATATTGTACAGAGTATCAGATTTACATCGTATTATATTTATAACACAGTAGGGTAGCGTGTACATGTTATTGAACTTTTTATATACGATTTTGTCTCCGCGTATAACGGCCCATGTGTCGTATGAAAATTACATAGGATTCAATAACACCACGGATGCTGTTAATTGATTATAAACTAAATAACGTGCAAACGCGCGTGTGTGCCTATAGTTTACATATGTTCATGTTCAGCGAGGAGAATGAATCATCGAGCTTCTCCTTCACCGATAACATTTAGCGTTGCTCGCGATAAAGTACAGTCAAACTAACTGCTCGATGTTTCGTTACGATCGTACGAAAGAAATTCGTATAAGTATACCAGTGTCTGCCAATTTTTATGGAAAGTAGGAACAAAATACAATCGCTTTTCCAAATATTCCGTTTGTCACCTGAATACTATGATCCAGTCGAACGTAGGCGTTTCTTCTTGTAACTATTAATTACCGTAATTACCTTACAATTAAAGTTCAAGTTACATTGTAAATAAACGATCCTTGTGAATCTTACTGCCGCGTCCGACAGTCACGGTCACACCGAGTGTGTATACATTTATTAATTCAGTCGTGTTTCTCGTTCGGCTGAACACTCGTCACAGCGCTGAGAGGTATGATCTCAGTGTTTCGTTGAACGTTATTATTGTTTTTCAACGTTGTTCGTATCGTGGTGGTCCGTGTCTTTATCCGCGGCAAATTGGACGAGCTCGCTAGGTAACCGCCCCTTTGAACCCGAGAACCGTTTCCTCGTGTGCAACGAAAAGTACGCTTAAATTCCTTCCGAAATTTGCCTGCAATCATTGAATATTTCGGTTATATCGGTTTAACAGATCATAGACCGTTTGTTAGCCGTAGATAATACAGTAAATTATCGATGAGTGTTCGAAGGTTCCTCGACGCTAAGTCTTCAGACGACATCCTCACCACTGGAGGATCCTCCGTGGAATCAGTCAAGCGCTCATTGGTGGGGATGACATCTGAGCAGAGGAGCTTTCGAACACTCATCGATGATTTACTGTATGTTGTAATTGTATAACCCACAAATCAACCGAAATCCTGCACATTTTCCATCAATCACAAATCGATCCGTTGCCAAACAAGAAACTCTATATGTATTCAATCATTCATCAAAACACATTCAACCATCAAACATAACGCATAGATCAGTCAAAACACATTCGAACATCGAACATAACACATCGATCAGACAGAACATATTCGACCATCGAACATAATAACACATCGATCAGTCAGGATACAATAATTAGTGCAAGCATACATCGCATTGTTAAGTTTATGTTAAAGTTTTAAGTGTGTCACAAAGTAGTATGAAATTACTTAAAACCATACATATCATTGTACACCATCGCACACTATCTTTACAACGGATTTCTCAGTATTAATTCACCAAGTACTGGCAAATCGCGAGTACGTCGCATCACGTTTTTCCCTTTGAAGAGGCTCGTTCCTCGAATGTATTCCTATCTCCGTTCAAGTGGAAACACTAGCACTTTCACATACGTGCAACGACTTCTCTTTCGGATACGAAAGTTTTTCTTGTCTCGAGACTTTTTGGGGAGAAGTTCTTTGAACTGTACGAAAATTGAAAGAATTGATCCGTGACGACGAGACGTGTCCTTTTTAACTCTTTGGGTTCGGGGCTGGTCTAAAAATCCATTACGAATCTCCCGCTAGACGACAGAATAGGGGCGACATTTGTTTTTTTTCTCACCAGGCATAAATTATTATCCATCAATCAACGGAAAAATTTAATGAATCAGTGTCGAAGAAAAATCACAGTCTTATTTTGAAAAAAGAAAACTTCATGATTCTTCTGGTTTTTTTGCTATAAAAATTCGTCTGAGTAGGTGAGTCCTAAATGACTAATTTTTTATTGGATAGAAACGTTTCAGCTTTTCGGATCTAAAGTTGATAAGCGACTCGGGACAAAATACGGTAAGTGATATAGTGACATTACGTACAATCGACTATTACAAATTTGACCACCTTTAAAATTTCTGACTGTTTTTCTCTTAGTATTTACTAAATTTATAATAGATATTTATTCATTAATAAAATTATTAATTTTGAGATACCAAATCAATCGCAAAGGTAATTTTAAAATCGCGTTCAGTGGACAAACATTGGATTGGACCCTTCGGGGCAGTAGGGAACAAAAGCTGGCAACGAAATCACGCCGAGGAACTGTTTCCAGTCCACGTCTTGTTACTTATAAAATAACAACGGAAAGTTTCGAAACAACGGGCGAAGGTTGTTATCAGCGGGGACACTGCAGAGAACCGTCTCGTTTAATTACAGGATTCTTTGGCCGAAGTAGACAGGAATGTTCGGACTGGAAGAGGATCTTAATCATCGGTCGCGGGGTAGAGTTTTTCGATAAGTTCTGAATTCTTTAATGAATCAACAGAATGCCCCTTGTGGCGAAATTTTTAAACTTACAATACTGTTTCAATTGGCCGAATGTTAGTCCTGCGAAGCATCATTATTTCAATATAAAAGTCAAATTTTAAATGACAGCAATATTAATAAATATTTGACACATGAAAGTTAGACTTTTTAATATCTATACCTTTTAGTTATAGGGTTTACTAAAACATATACGTCCTGTGGACTGATTTGGAGATCATTATGTGCCACTGTGCGTCGTCAAGGACGTTAGAATATAAAGAAGATTGCTCTGTAGGCGGATATCTCAAGGACACATTACGATTCTCATAAAGATTCGCCATATTTCTCGTCGCGATCGGATAAGTGAACGATTTAAATGAAGGAACATCGACCATACTTGACCTTGAAATGTCTTTACCGTCTACAACCACTCGCGATTTATCTCCCTGATATACTCCAACGGACTCTTCGACCTACATATTTTTTTCAGAAATTTTTTTTCCCACCGCAAGTCTTCCCTACGAAGTAGATAGAGACCCATAGTCTCTGTATGTAAAGAGAATTCGTGTGCTGGAATACGAAGGAAATCCGAGTATGTTATCGCGGAAGTAAACAAGTTTTGAAAAGGGCTCGAGGAAGGATGAATACAAAAGTGGGAGACAGTTTCCCTTCGTCGGTGATCCATTAGTCGCGATGAATCCGAGCACACGTGTACAACTCTGATCATATAAAAGATGTATATGTATGTACATGTATCAATTTTTTATGGTCACGACGGCGCGGATGCGGCGTCTGCGACATAAATTATTCTGTGCAATATTCACATCAACTTATTATTAACCATGGGAGATTTGTTCTCCTTAGACTCTTCCGTATTATCAATCTCTGTAAAAAAAAGAAAAACAGAAAAAGAATGCACTACAAATTTAGATTTTCACGAAGATGTTCAGAACACTATTAGTGAATTATGACATCGAAGACGATTCCAAAAATCGATAAAGATTCATTCAATTATCCACTTCTACTTAAATTTAAAATTGTAAGTTTCAAAATGTTGTATTGCTTGAGCTAAAGAAAACGTATGAGCTGTTAAATCTTCATTCTGGGCCACACTGTGGCGTCGCCGCCGGCGAGATTGGAAAATCTTTTGTTTCCGTTCCTGAAAGGCGACGCGCGAGAGCTCGATATAACGATGCCGTCTCATGGATGAAACAGGGCCCGTATGTCGTCTGCTTGGTGCACGGGGAACAAATGCAAAACAAGGGGTGGTGCGTGCTGATAAAGAAAGAACGGTTTTATAAAAGCAAAATTGTTCGTTTACCGCTCATGAAGTTGTAGATCAAAGGATTGACCGCGCTGTTGAAGTAACAAAGTCCGTGCGCGATTAGGCTGATGGCGTTTATCCACTTGTTCGACGGTAACGTAATGGTATACCTGAAACGGTAAATAACACAGGTGCATTGATTTTCACCCCTTCTCCCCCTCCCTCCAAGCGGGTAATAACAGTTAACGTTAATCCCGTGCAACCCCACTGCGCATGCGGTGTTACCAGTTTCTCCCGCCTGTTGCATTCTCCTCGATTGAATTTTCTTGTTTTTTTTTTGTATAGGGATGGCTTGGAACTTAATTTTTCCATTCCCGAAACTCGAGTTCAAGACTTTATAAGGTTTCGAAACTCTCGAAACTTGAAACTGAGTTTCAAAGGGTTTCGAGGGGTTTCGAAAAACCTATTCCTAGTTGTTTCTTTTTAGGGAATACAGCATCGAGTTGATGGTGGATGAATACCTCAAAACGGAGATCAAATGCACGGGGAAGTAGCAAATGGCGAAAGTGATGACCACCGTGACCAACATCTTCGCAGCTTTCCGTCTGGATCTCAGTTGCGCCTCGGGATTCCCGCCGCCTGATGGGGTAGTGTGGCTCATCTGCGAGGCCCTCGTCGGCACTGGAAATCCGTTGGAACAATTATTATTCATACCGTGGACTTATCGTAGCTCTCTCTGATCGTCGAGCAGACAATTAACAGATTACGTACAGAGGGAGAGTTATTGCAGAGTAGTACAAACGTTTTAAACTACCTCCGGGGGCTGTAAGGTTAAATGTCCCATTGAGCATGATCGTTACGGGTCCAGGGACGTCGAATACTAAGAAGAATCGATAAGAAAAGGTGTCGTGGACAGAAAAAGAAATTCAACGAAGAAAAACGCGGTAACCGGTCCGTTCCTTCAATATCATCGCGCCAACGGTTTGAGGACATTACTATTCCGTGGGTAGGGAATACAATATCGGGATCCCTTCATGTTGGCTGTTTTTTGGACTCCAAAAATTCCGAAATTTGATATAAATAATTCACATTGTTCAAAAAGTGTTATAGACAACTACAAAATATACAAATAAACAGAATAAATAAACATAGTCAATTCGTAATAAGGATAATAATAATAATAATAATAATAATAATATTAATTCGAATATAATTTATATTTTTGAAAAATATAAGATTAATTCAAATTTTTCAGAAATCCGGGATTAGTTATATATACATATACCAAATCTTGGGATTTTTGAGATTCAAAAGACAGCCGCGATTGTATTCCCTACCTGTGCTGCAGGTTTACATGTAACAAGGTTTCTACATTATACGCAACGATTATTACCGCACAAAGATTAGGACTAATAGGATCGTATCTTTTCGGTACAAGCGTAGTTCTCGTTCCTTAATTGGGGGAAAGAGGCCACCTTTAGCATAGGCCACCTTTAGTTTAACCCAGCTCTGATTGTCGCAACTTTGTTTGCTTACAGTTGTGACCGGGAATGTCGCTTTTCCAGAGGACCCTCACGATTTGCCAATAAGCCACGCTCATGAAGATCAACGGTCCAGTGTAGAGGAAAATCAGTTTAACAACGGTGAAGGTCACTTGGCTCTCCGGGCTCCAGGACATGTTGCATTGCGTGAACAGAACGGTTTCCACTTTGATGTGCGTTGGCACTGTGCGCAGCACCACCAGGTCCGGGATATCTGGGAAGTGTAATTTAAGTCGGTTGTATTACATTCGATATTTTTAAACGTTTTACACTATAAGTAGTTAGGACATCTGATATGTATGAAGAAAATGTGATTATTGTTATACCTTAGGCCACTTTTATTTTCTTTTTATTAACTGCACAAAAATTAAGGAAATTTATTGTAAATATATGTAGTTAAATATCAATAAAGAGTCATTTTGGTCTATGACCGGCTCAGTTTACACTAGCTCTTGTTTTTGAGTTTTAATATCCACCAAAGAATATTTATTTCGGACTTTCAAGAGTTTCGTTAATGGCTTGTAACAATGAGATACTGTATATTCGATAAGCGTCATAATACTTACGGCCTATAGTGTATACTACTCTATGGTTTTAATTCAGGCAACCCCTGTATAATACGGTTAGGGGTATTGTGCAGAACATATGTAGTTTTGTTTGTTTTTTCACATCCCCCAGCGATGGGAATAACGCTGTTGCTCGTGTCGCATTCATCGAGGAATCACTGTACAATTTTTTTTTGTTTAATTTAACCACTGTATTATGCGAGGGTCACCCAACCACCGTGTTATACGAGGAAAATATATCTACCAAAGAGAAGAGCGATCGCCCAGATGCCGATGATCGCGGTTTTCGCTCGGCTGGTGGTGGACTTGAATCTCAGTGGGAAGCATATCGCGTACCATCGGTCTATCGATATAAAAGTTAGGGTCAATATGCTCACGGTCACCGAGACTGTCTGGAACAAAAGACAGGGAACCATTTGAAAGGAATGAAAAACATCCGATGGTTTACTTTGAATTAACAAATTGTCCTGAAACTTTATCGTCCTGCGAACTTCTCTGTTTCCGTTTTCGTATTGCGTCACGACGACCGTTAACCTTAAAGTCGCGGAGGGACATGGCGGGAAATTAGAACGGCGCGAAAATAGAACCACGAATGGAGAAGTTAAAGGAAATTCATCCCCCCTGTTGGTTTCGAGCACGGTTGGACGATTGTCCTAAGAGGAGAGTAGAGGTAAAAAAAAATTTAATCGCTCTCATTTGCAATTCTAAGTTTCTCTTTACCTTCGGCGAGATTTCCATAACTTCCGGTCGCCGTGGAATTTACATCGTTGCATCAGAGATCGAGGGAGGACGATAGAGCAACCGGTACCTACCCCGAATATCGTACTTAAACGGTCGACGATGTGCTTTCGTTGGTTCATTATAACTAACATATAGTATGTTTCTTTTATAATAAGTATACTCATACGATTACGCGAAGTCTTTGATTTATGTGGTTCTTCTTTATGCGGATAAAAACCATCTAAATGGAGTCTGTCTGTACAAAAAAAAAATTCATAAGAGAAAAGGCAGTATAAGTTATAAAAATATTTATTTTAAAAAAAACTAAATGTAACGAATATTCCGTGTAAATCGAGGGCCTGGTGTATTTCTGTAAGTAGCAAAACCGAAACATTTTTTCGTATTTTTGTAACTTACAGAAATAATCCTATGATCGTGCACTTAAAACGGACGTACTGTATACAGGGTGTCTCGTTTAACTCGACCCACTCGGATATCTACGGAACTTTTTACGACATTAAAAAATGTTTCAGGCAGAAGTTAAACGGTATTTTGTTTCTATGTGGACGCTGGGCAAGTTACGAGCTCCCAAATGTACGTAGAGGGCGCAACGAGGACGAATATAGGCGTATGGTATCTTACATTTTGACTTTCCATCTGATAACGCGGTTTTATTCGTGGTCGGGCGGGCACAGAGGACAAGTCATGAATATAAAACGAACGAACGCCTAGGAAATATGGGCGGCAGACGCTTCTAGGAGTCCTGGTTCCCAGGGAAAAATTGATAAAACTGTTCCCCCGGCTCAACGCGTGGTTATGTACCTTCCTCTTTTTTTTTCAGCTTTTCGAGGAAGGATTTACCGCCTCGTAGGGTAAACGCACCGACGAATGAACAGTTGAGGGATTTTGTAACTATTAAAATCGAATTTTAAATGATAATAACATTACCCCGCTAACTGCATTCGTCGTTCGTTGATTATTGATCTCAACAGAAAGAAATTACTCATTCATCATTGCTAGAACTTGAGTGAAACTTTTCCAACGGGGCGGGCCAGTCGTGGAATTAATAACAAATTGTACACGACGAACAACACGGGGGCTCGACCTACATCCCTTTCTTTCCCCTCTGTAATTGTACATACACAACAAACAGACGTGTTTCTGTAAAAGATTCATTCGAAGTCTTATCGGAGTCTCAGATTGGCCATTAAGCAAATTGCATTCGAGACAAATGGTCTGTTTTCGTTCGTTTTTATCTTCCCTTCCAGAGACACGGGGAATGTTCCGTGGTGACAGCCTTGTTCTGTGCTTGATTGTCGACGCTTTTCCGTGCATACGACGCATACATGGCATCGCGTTTAAGAGGCCAACTGGACAACCACGCTGTCAATTCAATTTCGGAATTGTCGTCAAAGGGCTTGTTACGGAACAGTTTCCGTGCATGCTGGTGTATTTGAATTGATCGACAATAGCTGCTGGGCTAGTCGTAACGCCGCGCAACATAGATGCTCTCAGCCTCGATACCCCCATCGACATCAGTACTTCTCTGATTAAATGTTCGCCACGATACAGGTTGCTTTCGAGACCTTCGATCTCTGGACGCGATCAAACGACAATTTTCGGTACTTGTCGATCGTTTTACCAGCACCGGTATCACAACCTTAATTCACACCTGCTTTTTCAAACGTATTAAAAACTATTTGTTAACCCTCAATGATTTCAGCCATTAGCCCTTAGCCACTTCTTCAGCAAAGTCGCCTTTAGGGGCTATGCTAGTGTGACGGTTTCAGAAAATCGGATTTTTCTTTTTTGCAATTTGCAATAATTTTTTTAGGAAGAGGAAGGTATTTTATATGGCCCGGAATAGGCGATTAGATGTAAGTATGAAACATTTTTCCATCGAACTTTGCGCACAGCTGTATTTAAGTACCTAATAAATATGATTAATCACCAGGTGGTGATCTTTTAGTGGAAAGTAAGTATAGTGCAAGTTGTCTGCACGAACATCCTCTGCACAGGCGACTATTCAAACACGGGGCGTTTCTATGTAAATTGGAAACTCTAGACTCGTTTCTTTTCGCATTGCAAGCCAGACGCCCCGACGGAAATTGGTTGAAGGAGTTAAGAATCGTTTATTCCGGAAGTGGATACCCTTGCGCAACACAGCACGGAAACCCTGGGGACGCTTTAATTCCAACAGTCGAGGGAAGAGGTTTCAAGTGTATCCAGGGAGAGAACTCGTCTTTGTACATACAGTCGTTTTATCGTTACGCTGATACAGAGGGACGGGGTTATAACTTTGGCAAAAGATTTATGAAACCCTTCGCGAACTTTAAAAAAAATAGGAAAAATAGAAAGAAAGAGTCAAGAAAGCTGGGAACGGGTGATTCGATTCTTACGAGCGTCGTAAACCTGTGACAGGTTACTAACCAGATCTTTCAGATCTGGAGGTCATACTTGTGTACAGTTTGGAGCTGCTGAGTTGCCGAGCTCCGACGAACTGAACGGCACAATTGAAAAAAGTGGCTTTTGTCCCACCCTACAAGAAAAAAAAATTGGATTTTGCCCCCCCCCCCCTCCCTTCTCAGAGTTGTATATCAGTATCGTAATTTTGAAATAACGATTTAAATGTCTGGGCGTTAAAGGGTTAAAATCGAAGTCGTAAACTTACTGTTATTCAGTTCTCCCATCTGAAAGATGAGTGTCTAATATTTTTTCGGTCCATAAGAACCACCCTATTCTGCAATGTGAACTATCAGAACAGTCCCGTGGGTGTTCCCGAGGGAAAGGCAATGGGAACGCGAATCGAGTGACCTAAATCCATTGGGCATAACCGATGGAGGGCTTCGTGCTCATCGGCCGAACAAAAAACGCATTGTTTTTTCTTTTCTTTTTCCACGCACAGAGCGCTGTGCCGAACACGAAACGATTTCGCGATTGTTTGTCGTGCCAGGGCGTGGTATTGGGGTAGCACGTTTTAATTAAATCTTGGCTATCTACAGGTCTGCACTCGCAACTGCATCCGTCACGGGTACATGCGTGACCTAACGTGTCGAACCGATAGCTTGACGATACCATCTTTTGTTCACCAGCGAATCCACCTGTGTCGATGAACGGGGCCGTTCCTAGTGGGGGTGCAGAAGGCGCCCTCGCACCTGGGCGGCCGCAGATCATTCATTATATGTACAATTTTGGCTAGTAAAAATACTAATCAAGATTTTTTGTATGATTATAAAAATTTTAAACCAATAGAATTCAATCAAATTAATTTTATATACAATTTTTGTAACACTACTCGTATACCAGAATTAACTATCTTTATGGACAGTCCACAATAGCATAAAATATTTAAAACATATTTATTGAATTTATTGGCATAGTATTCCCAAAATATATTTTAAATAGATCTATTTGAAAGGGAGAGTCTTAATAATTTGTCCCTGAACAGGTTAAGAACGCAACAGCAATCGATACCTTGTGGTTAGCTTAGTCTCAGGCGATAATATCAACCGTTGAAAAATTCACCTGGTTCGATGGTCGCGCTAGATCGCGGTCAGTTTGCACGATTAATTAGCGCAATTGTTCCATTGCTCTCGCGGCCTAACAGTTCGTCCCAGCCAGAGGAGAGCATTAGGGGGCTCGCGTTCTGAAAAATTCATACGATCGACTCGGTCACGAGAAAGAGTTGTTTCAGGTGAAATATCACCTGGATGGGAACGACTCGCTGGGCACGGCCCGCCATCGCGATAGAACGGCCGTCACGCAACCTTTACATCATTAGATGCCCTATGTCTTTTTTGGATCTCGCGTCCCAACGTGTCTGGAGTCAACGGAGTATGGTTCCTTTGATCTCTTTGCACATAAATATCACACGTTATAGTTGTCTACTCTGGGTACACGCATAGAACGTGTGACCAAATATTTATTCGCAATCAGTGGCGGATTCGGGAGCCTTCCTTAGGCATGATCTATATCCTAATCTAATAATTTTTCGACATACCTAGTTTAATACTTTTTCATAGAGAAGGTCGAAGTGCAGCAAATAATGCATACAAAAATATGTGATCTCGTTTAAAAAATTGAAGATAACCTCGAAATCTTGGAAACTTCTCTAGCTGCAAAATAATTATTACGCATATTGACGAAATTGTCTCATCTTTTTGGGATACCCTGTATAGATTATTCTTGGGGGAGAATCGTCCCTATCACGTATCTCTGGATCCGCCACAGGCCTCAATCAAGCAGTTCTTCGCGAGAGAAACAAAATCTTTACGATCGTGGGGTTCCATGGCACTGCATCTTGGAAAAACTGTGTCAGTCACGGGGAGGATCCGATAATAATTGATGTCGCGTCGCGTAGGAACATATTTTGGAACGTCCCCCAGGATGACTCGACGTTCAGTGGATTATATAATATATCGACGGTCACGTCGAGCAGAAACGAAACCCGCGGGAAATTCGCCGTTTATCTCAGTAGGGAACGACGTTCACGTGACGGAAAAGAAACTCCGTCGGCTTCGTCTCTCGTGTTCCTAACCGTAAACTTTTTAATTGAATCGCGAACTACTTGCGTTCTCGTGCGGTCGAATCGTCAGCCACACGATTACGATTCACGAGAGCACGGAGTTTCCCTTCGGTTTCTTCAACTTCCGCAAACACATGAAAAATACCG